CAGGCCACTGTCCACCAGGCCGCGGTCCACAAAACCCTTCCAATCTAAACGTGGTATCATCACGCACAAGCTATATAATTATATTTTAAAGTCACATAGCATTTAAGGAAAGGCACTTCTATGTGCTCAGCCGGAGAAGATGGCTGCCTCTGTCTTCCTAGGCCCATTCCTCTGTTCACAGGAGCCAGGAGAGCTGGGGGAATCTTTCCTGCTAGGCCCCCTTCCCAGAACCCCATGTTCTGTGGCTGCTTCAGGCCGGGAAGGGTCAGTGGAGCTTCCTAACTCTTCTGCCAGGGGATTGGGGTGTGCTGAGGGGTGCAGGGTATCACAGGGGTTTGGCCAGCCCTTCAGGGCCTCTTCTGCATCCCAGTGGCTGGCACTGGCTCACCTAGGGCAGACACAGCACCACAGGCCCTGGGACCACGGCAGCCACACCAGCCTCACCAGTCTCTGAGGTGAGTTCCAGGACCCTCCTGCTCTCTCCAGATATCTAAGCCACTCGGAAGCTACCATTCTCGGTCAGACCCGCACCTTTACTTCCAGACCCAGCTCTTCTCCTCTCGTGACTTCTTTTCCTGTTTTATTTCCTTCTGCAACTATAAACCCAGCCTGGTGGAGCTTCTTGTACTGTGGCCGGCGACATCAGCTGAAGGTATCCTTGGCACCCTGCTAAAAGCGAGTGAGCAAAGTTAGCACAGAAAGGTTCTGGCTGGGTTCAGGCGTTGTCCACATGGGGCACTCGTGGCCAGAAGCATTGGAGTGTGTTGGTTGCTCTTCCAGCTTAACCCTGGGACAGACTCCTCTCTGGGGTGCCTTTACCTGCTGTGCTCACAGCAGGATCTGTGTGAACATCTGCTGAAGAATCCACATTGTAACCCCTGTCAAGAAGATGACGAGGAAACGACGTTTCTGGCACTTTGGCTGCGGACTGGTTCCCCGAGTGATTTGTCCTCCTTCCCTCCTGGCCCACGACCCAGGTCCAGGTGCTGGCACTGCTGTGCCCTGGGGTTTAGGAACTGCAGGTGCTGCCATTGAGGCGAAAAATGGCCTTCAAGAATCCACACTGTGCCTGGATTTTCTTTTGTTTGGCCTGGAGTTTTGAGGGCAAAAGGAGCATTTGTTAACATCTACACGAGTGGCCATGCTAGAGTGTTGGCTTGTGTTTCAAGTTTCCTTGTTTTACTAAACAGAAGCACATTGGTATATTTATTTCCATGGAAGAATCTGGAGCCTATGTCCGAGTAACAGCAGGACACTCGTGTGCATTTCTTCCTGTGTAGGGGCTCTGGAATAAAGGTGCCGGGCACTGGTTATTCCCGTGCGACGTCCCAGAGCAGTGCCAGCCCCAGCTAGCAGCTGGCCACTGCTGTCACAGAGGAAACAACACTGGCATCACCTGTGATGCTGTGCATTAAACTCCATGAGTTTTAAGGATTTTAAATACTACTAGAAGGAATTTTCCAAGCTGTGTGCTTTCACTGACAGGCTCTCCAGCATATTCATGATAGTCCCCAGAATCCTCTCCCTGAGGGGCTCTAGAAAGAGTGATCAGATAACACAGGATCTGCTTGCTGTGCTACCAGCACACTGAATGAAAATCCACACATCCACACATGCATTTTTGGTGTATAGTAGAGACACATTTACTCTTTTAAAAATTTGGTGTTTATTTCAAGAGTTTTTAAACAATGTGCTTGAACCCTGTGAAAGGTTTATTTGGTTGTACTCTTGAGAGTTGAAGCTTGGCAATTCGGTGCAGACCAGCCTTTGCCAGGAATCTGTAACACCCTCAGATTCCACAAGACAGCGTTCCTTAAGCTTTTTAAAAACAAAACCCCAGTTCCTCCCCGGGCTGCATGCTGTGCACTCCCATGCCACCACCTCCTCCACCCTGAGCCATCTTGGGCCCTCTCAGGGAGCACAGGGTGACAATCTCGGGTACAGGGAGCCTGTCTACAACACAGGTCCACAGGGGATCTGTGGGACAGTGCCCCGTCCATGACTCAGCCCGAGGCCTTCTGCAGAGTTTGTCTCAGGGAGGGAAGCTCTTTGTGCAGGAGACCCCCGGCAGCACACTGGGCGGGTCATGTGGCCAGAGCTGTTCATTGTCTGGCCACTTCCCAGGAACACCAGGAGTCACTCCGGCCACCCCAGGGAAGTGGGGGCAGCCAAGAACAGAGAGCCAGGAAGCTGTGCTGGGCCTGTCCCCATCCCCAGGCTCTCAGTGGTCCTGCCCAGAGCCTGTGCCAGCGGGCAGCTCACAAAGTCCCTCAGAGGCCATCCTGGGCAGCAGGCTTCCTGTGATGTCATGGGGTAGCCAGGTCCCTGGAGCCCTGTGTCCAGCAACCCCAAGCCAAGGAGCCAGGGCCTTGGGTATAGATAATTTCAGAGGCATGTGTGAGGAGGAGAGTCCTCCTCAGAAATCTTGCTGTGCATCAAGTGCAGTGTGGCATTTGGGACATGTGCAGTGGCAGCGTGGTTGCTATGGTAAAGTAAGTTAGTGCAGTCACTGTGGCACTGGCATGTGGTTTCCTGTTGTGTGTCTTGACTTTCACAACAAGAACAGTGGAAATCACCTCATTGACCAGAATTCCTACATGAAGTAGTTTTTCGCCTTTGAGTGAAGTAATGTTTTTCTTTTCCTGTCTGTCTACTTCACATCTTGTCCTTTAGGCTCTGCCACAGAGTGGCAAATGGCAAGATCTTGTTCTTTTTCAGGGCCGAATAATGTTTCATTGGCAGCAATAAGTGAGGATGGATTCTCCTATTTGGACTGCTGGGGTGTCTTGCAAAACATGCACAAAGGCCAAGTGTGTGTCTCCACAGTCTCCTCACATGGTCTAAGTTTCCACCCTCAGGACTTCACCTGAAGTACATCATGGGTCATTCAAACAGGATTACAGATGTTTTATCCTGTCTCTCCCTCAGGTCATCTTGGAGAAGATTGAAACCACAGTATGAAAATGTGCAGTCTTTCTTCAAACTAAGAATAGCACTGTATTGGCATTAACATTCTCCTTAGCAGCCCCCCCTCGTCCACAGTGCACCCTCAGGTGCCCAAGTCCCTGGCTCTGCTGCTGACATACACAGCCACTGTGGCCACAAAATAGTCTGTCATGGAGAGGGAGGGAGGGGGAGAGAGAGAGAGAGGGAGAGAGCGAGAGAGAGAGAGACAGAGAGA